GTCATTAGGCTCAGGTAAGAATGAATGGAACACTAATGAATGGTGGAGCTCGGCCTACAGGAAATGTACCAACACCGAGAGGATTAAACCAGTACCTGGACGCATTTAAATGCGGAAGAGCGGAAGTGTTGTAAAGACCATATGCCACTAAAGCGGGCAGCCCCCGCTCTCAGTTACGTTATTTTTTGTTATATTAAAAATAACATAAATATGTTTGCTATAAGACACATTTATTATTAATGAATTTAACTCCATTGCAACACTTGAATAATAAACGTCTTAGCCAAAATTCCGTCGGTGATACCAGGCAGAAAATCCTACTGCAATATTTCCCGATTCTTTTAACACTTGATATAAATAAGAAATTTAAAGACTTAATTCGTGCTTTACACCTTCCACTACTCCCCTGCCTCCTCCACTATACCTTGCTCCCACTACTTCCCTGCCTCCTCCACTATACCTTGCTCCCGCTACTCCCCTGCCTCCTCCACTATACCTTGCTCCCTCTACTCCCCTGCCTCCTCCACTATACCTTGCTCCCACTACTCCCCTGCCTCCTCCACTATACCTTGCTCCCTCTACTCCCCTGCCTCCTCCACTATACCTTCCTCCCACTACTTCCCTGCCTCCTCCAATATACCTTGCTCCCTCTACTCCCCTGCCTCCTCCACTATACCTTGCTCCCACTACTCCCCTGCCTCCTCCACTATACCTTGCTCCCACTACTCCCCTACCTCCTCCACTATACCTTGCTCCCACTACTCCCCTGCCTCCTCCACTATACCTTGCTCCCACTACTCCCCTGCCTCCTCCACTATACCTTGCTCCCTCTACTCCCCTGCCTTCTCCACTATACCTTGCTTCCACTACTCCCCTGCCTCCTCCACTATACCTTGCTCCCTCTACTCCCCTGCCTCCTCCACTATACCTTGCTTCCACTACTCCCCTGCCTCCTCCACTATACCTTGCTCCCTCTACTCCCCTGCCTCCTCCACTATACCTTGCTCCCACTACTTCCCTGCCTCCTCCACTATACCTTGCTCCCTCTACTCCCCTGCCTCCTCCACTATACCTTGCTTCCTCTACTCCCCTGCTTCCTCCACTATACCTTGCTTTCTCCACTCCCCTGCATCCTCCACTATACCTTGCCTCCTCCATTCATCTGCCTCTTCCACTATACCTTGCTCCCTCCACTCCTCTGCCTTCTCCACTATACCTTGCTTCCTCCACTCCCCTGCCTCCTCCACTATACCTTGCTTTTTCCACTTCCCTGTCTCTTCCACTGTACCTTGTTTCCTCCACTCCCTTGCCTCCTCCACTATACCCTGCTTCCTCCACTCCCCTGCCTCCTCCACTATACCCTGCTTCCTCCACTCCCCTGCCTCCTCCACTACACCTTGCTTCCTCCACTCCTCTGCCTCCACTATACCCTACTTCCTCCACTCCCTTGCCTCCTCCATTATACCCTGCTTCCTCTACTCCCCTGCCTCCTCCACTCTCTTGCCTCCTCCACTATACCCTGCTTCCTCCACTCCCCTGCCTCTATTATGCCCTGCTTCCTCCACTCCTCTGCCTCCTCCACTATTCTGTTTCCTCCACTTCCCTGCCTCCTCGCTTTCCTCCGAAGACGTTGACAGGTCAAGCAGTGACGCTTCTGGGGTAAGGTCTCACAAGGACGTGTCTTAAAACACACACTACGCCTTCGGAAATTCCCACATGAAACACACACACACACACAAACACAAAATAAACAAATACAAAATCCTTCAGTGTGAGGGCAATTGGCAAATGAGATGCATTAGGAAGGTATGTATTCGAGGCCAACTCAGTAAAAGGTTTCTAAATAGAATTGAATCTAAAAAGTTTAAAGGTCAGGAAATAAACCACACAATCTAATCGAAGTGCAAAAGCAGGGCTCAAGAACTAGAGCTCATCCCTTGCTGAGGTAGTACACACATTATGTGAATACACAAGAGCTTCACTAAACCAAACTGGAGGGCGTTCCAGCGGTCAACGCCCCCACGGCCCGGTGCTCGACAAAGCCTCCTGGTGCATCAGGGCCTGATCAATCAGTTTGTTACTGCTGGCCGCAAGCAATCCAACCTACGAACCGCTGCCTAGCTGGTTGGGCACTGACTTTAGGTATCTGTTTAGTTCCCGCTTGAAAACAGTCAGGGTTCTATTGATAATCCCCTTTATGTATGATGGGAGGCAGTTGAACAGTCTTGGGCCCTGGACACCTGCTGTGTTTTCTCTTAGTTTACTCATGGCATCTCTGCTTTTCATTGGGAGTATGTTGCACCGTCTGTCGAATCGTTTGCTTTCGTAGGGTGTAGATTATGATGTACCTAGTTTGCCTGCTTTCCATGGAGTACAGGTCAAGGGACTTCAAACGTTTCCAGTAATTAAGGTATCTGACTAAACTAATGCGTATACTGAAGGTTCTCTGTACATTCTCTAAATTTGCAACATCACCTGCCTTGAATGGGGGTGCTAGTGTGCAGCAGTATTCCAGCCGAGAGAGAACAAGTGGCTTAAAGAGGATCATCATTGGCATGACATCCGTTGTTCTCATTATCCATTCTATCATTTTCCTAGCAGATGTGATAGTGACATTGTTGTGATCCTTGAAGGTGAGATCCTCTGACATTATCAATCCCAAGTCCTTCACGTGGGAAGAATTGCAGCTAAATGCATATGCTTCTGATTATGAAAAAAATCAATGAAAAATGCTATAAAAGTATTTTTAAAATGGTAATACGGTTCTTCGTGCAGCAATCTCATCTTCAGATAATTCATTACATTTTTAAACAAGAGACCTCGAATATATTTCCTTCACTAAACCTAAATTTATTTACCATATACCTACTGTAAGGTACTCTGTGAATGTGTTGTGTGTTTTGGCGTCTGTCTTTCTAGCTGTCTGGTAAAGATACTCTCAGACAATAAGAAGCGTGAGAAAACAGCTTCTAGGCGCCAGACTTTGCTAACTTGAGGATTAACGATGGCGCTCTTTCATCACCACCCATCTCCCCAACACCAAGACTGCCTCACCATCCCCGCCAACTTCACACCTCATCACTAGAGGTTATGCAATTACGCGCATTATTGTTAGTTTATTCGTCAGGGGAAAAAAAACTGTTACGGTTCTCTCAGTAGTGCCGGCACTGACGAGGGCGAGGCGAGGCAAGTCATTTATCTAATTGGCTTCATTAGGTACATGGATCCTTTTTACTTAATACTTGAATACTTCCAACACTCGAATTTCTTGCACACATCACTTTTTATTTTTACACGGGATATGATATTCTAACAGAATCGGGGTGTTCTAATACATTTTTCAATAGATGCGACCCACAACAGTTGGCTAACACAGGCACCTATTTTTACTTCCAGATGGGGAGGAGAGATAGGGTTGCAAGGAAATCTGCTCTAAAGTTTATCCATGCCAGGACTCGAACCCGGGACCCTGGGGGTGGCGGACACTAACAGCTTGACAAATCAGGCCAGGAACCTGGTCTAGGACCAGGCAGCAGGGGTGATGACCTCTGAAAGCGACAACAGATAACCTAGAGTAACCAGTGAGCTACGCGGCACCCCAGTGAGACAACCTAAGGACAAGTGACTGTAGGGTAGCCGATGGCAGCATATACTGATTATTAGATGGCAAAATGGCCATAACCTGGCGTGACTTAAAAATACTAAGGCACACTAAATGTATACAAGTTCATTCATTTTTGTCTATCTTATCCTTTTCGGAATGAAATTCGCATGAGTGGACCACTGGAAAGTTACGTAATTCATCGTTCTGGAGCGCTTTATGCGTAATACGTATTTCGTATAGGTTTGGTAGCTGACATTTAAAGGACCCCAGAGCAATTATTATCATTACAGCCTTTCCTCAGGTAAGACCAAAACCTATGGTAGAGTTGTTAACAGCTTAGATTCCAAAGGGTTAGGGTGTAGCATGAGTCATGCAGGACCCTTCCCGGGGCAAACACTCCATAACCTGTCATTATAAAGCTCGGTGGCACTTCCTTTACCCACATCTGTATGCATGTGGGATCGCCCCTCGTGTGTATAATGTGCCTCACCTCATCACGTGAATTAATGTACCTCACCTCTGGGTCCGTCTCCAGTGACCCGGACATGCTCCACACAAATTCCCTGTCCAACAGGCCCTTTGCTTGAGCTGACGAGAACATCGTGTCAGCGGCAGAGAGGGAAGAAAACAAGAATTTCTATTAGGCTGTGGCCAGCGTGTAAGAAGACCCGCACGAAGAGACGTGGTTTCATTCAGAACAAAAAAAGTGGCCCGCATGGCGCCGTGTTGTGCCTCGTGCCGGGGCTGCCAGGGGCCGCCACATACACACGCTCACTACAACACTTTTCTCTCTTTATCACTAATATGACTTCAGATCTTTACTACCTAACTAACTCCATCAGTATTTATAGTTTAAATGTTTACTAGAAAGTATGGTGAGCATGTTTACAACGATGAAGCAGGGAAGCATTAAGCCAGGTAGCGACTAGCTCGTCACGTGCCGAAGTTTAGATGGGTGTGAGTGCGTGTGTGCGTGCGTCTGTGTGGCGGTGTATGAGTGTGCGTGCGCGCATGTGTGTTCGTAGGTGCGTACGGCGTTGAGACTGTGGGAAAACATCTGCCCGTGTCTTGAGACATTCCAGCGCACCCCAACACCCCCCATTACTCCCTCACCCACCGCCGACCCCCTCGGAGTAAGCACGGGGCAATGAGGTGCCGTCGCCCGCCACTGCCATAACACGCCACTACTCGTATTATTCCTTCCACATTCACATGTGCTAAATACCCAAAGTATTTACTTAGAATGCGATGAATATATCGTGACAATATCATATATAAGCATCTAGTAAAAACGTATTTCTAAATACATAATAATGTGAACCGAAGAGTTACAGAGACTGTAAATATACACGTGAATTATTTCTCTGTTGTCAGTCAAGCACTACTTGTGGCTAAAGTTGCAGATGTTCAGTTTGCAGTCATTGTATGAGAGTGGTTTAAAGGAGGATGTGTTTGGTGTGGTGTTGCAAGCGAGGAAGCGAGATGCGAGTAGGAATATGGCGGTGTGTGGCAGGGTGTACTGGCAGCTGCGGCGGGGGCAGGTGGTGTGTGTGTGGGAACGCGTACAACTACACCGTTCTCACGCTCGCTGGCTCCTCCCCTTCCTCGTCCTAGTGCATATAAGCCGCCAGCACCCGCGGCAACTCCATACTCATTCCTATACTCGCTGAGAGCGCACCTAGCTCCACCAGCCCAGCATACTGCTGAATCTGCTACACTTGTGAACTTTTGGTTGTTTGACCAGTCTTGTGAATTCAAGATGGCTTGTGAATTGGAGCCGCTGTCCCGCACCTACCAGTACCGCAAGGTGATGAAGCCCATGCTGGAGCGCAAGCGCAGGGCTCGCATCAACAAGTGCCTGGACGAACTCAAGGACCTGATGGTGTCAGCGCTGCAGGCAGAGGGGGAATCTATTGCTAAGTTGGAGAAGGCCGATGTGTTGGAACTCACCGTCACCCACCTCAAGAAACTGCAGCGTCGCAACCAGCTTGCCGTGCGTCCCATCCCTACAGACCAAGATAAGTTCCGTGAAGGATACAGCCACTGTGCTTCCGAGGTGTCCCGCTGCCTGGCCTCCGTTCAAGGAGTAGATGTTACCCTGGGCACCAAACTTATGACTCACCTGGGTATATCCCTCACTAACTACGAGAAGCGTGCGCCCCTTACCATCTTGGTGCCCCAGGCAGAACCCTCGCCTGCTCTCTCATCAGCGTCTAGTGGTTACTCCTCGGCCTCAGAGCTCTCTCCAACACCTTCCACCTCCAGCAGAAACAGCAGTTCACCTGCCTGCAGCAGCACCAGCAGCAGTCCATCACCGCGCCCCCAGGGACTCCTCACCATCGCCGCGCCTTCCGGTCCCATGTGGCGCCCTTGGTAACCAAATCAACCCTCTCTACAGCCCCTGAAGCAGCTTCCTCAGTCAATGCCTTGTCACCACCCTGTTTAATGTTATCTGATCATACCAACGATGTTGTCATGGGGAGAGGACCAATGAGGAGCGCCCCTTGCATTCTGTGATATCCCCCTACCATGGGGGTCAGCTGTGATAGGCCGCTACGCCGAGTGATACCTTCTGTGATACGCACCACACATCTCATCATACCTCATCACCCATCATATTACAAAATCATCATATATTTAATAAATAAAATAATATTTAAATTTATAAACATCTTTATCTACCCTTAACTCTAAATATGACTTAATAATTTATGACAAAAGTGGTATGTGACAATGCACATAAATTTATGTAAATGAACAAATAAATATTACCAATAATATGAAGTCAAACTATAATGTATGAAACCATACATTACACTAAAAAAGAAATACCAAAAGTTACATCAATAAGGTATAAATATATGGGTACTGGGTATCTATAAAAACTTATGTCGACTGTAAGCCTTAAATTACAATGGATGAGTATCCTTGATGTTCGTCTTGTGACTAACCTTTGTAGTCTTTAAATTACCTAAAAAAAAAAAATCACTGAATTTATATGATTTAACCTCTTCAATGAGACCCTAAACAAAACAAACTACGTAATTAAAACAAAATACAGAACTCTTACAAATAAATATATTACCTTATTTACGTAAAATGTTAAGTAAAACCGTTCCCTGCGACTGTCGTTTTACATGAGAATATATTTCAGTTATAATCTGGAATTTGTCTGGGCAGCTGAAGCAAAATAAGAAGTCTACGGAAAATTGACATCGTTTTCACAATATATACACTCAGAGAAAACATTTTCCGGGAAACTATTTTAATAAGAGGATGAAACACTAAAAAAAGTAGAAATGTTAGGTGACAGGTATATTAATACAACTAATATATATTTTACCTCAATGGCCGTCCCCCAACACGGCAGGGTGACCCCCCCCCCCAAAATAAAACATTTTACCATCATTCATTCAATCAGTCTTGCCGGAAGTGTGCTAACATCACAATATAGATGACTGACTGCAAGACCCCTACCTCTCCTTCAGAGTGCAAGCACTACCCTTCTCACCTCCAGGAACTAAGTCCGGTTAATCGATTTCCCTGAATCCCTATCTTGCTCACACTCCAACAGCACGTTCATAACAAATCACTTGTCTTCATTCTCTATCTAATACGTTCACACAAGCCTTCTGTATGTTCAAACTCCAAAAATCAAAAGCCTCCTTTACTTCCTCTAACCGTTCGTGGTACAATCCCTACCCTCCACCCCAGATTTATACCTCTTCATCATCCTATCCCTCTCCATGCACAAACCACTTCGACAACCCCTACCCAGTCCCTCTGAATTATTCCCCTGATGACACCACACCGCCTTCCAATCTTGAACAAAATGCCCAGTAATTTGTGTCAGACTACCTTGCTTCAAATTTTGAAAGCATTTGTAATAATAAAAAAAGCATAATACAGAGTTCAGATTTAGGCAAGTTTCGTCAATAAATAGGACAAGCGTTTCCTGATATAGATCTTAGCCATATGATGACTCCCCACTGGCCTTCCACTGGCTTACTGGTCCACCCCTTTAAATATTAAGAGCAATTAAGCTATATGGTATATATTGGCTTGGTGAACACTGTTGAAATACCCACTGCATGTAGACAGATTAAAAACTTTTTCTTCATACATTGTCAAGGCCTGAAATAAATTACCTAAATATGCCAAAGCCAGCCGCCAATTCAAGGCTTAAGTTGAGAAGCGGCTTTCAGGTGAAGCTGCAGTGATGTTTTTGATTAAGTTGAGAAGCGGCTTTCAGGTGAAGCTGCAGTGATGTTTTTGAAGCTCTTCAGGGACTAGGCAATAGTGAATTTACAGAACGTTAAACTTGTCCTCCCAGACTATAATTGTAACAGTGATTGTATTTATATAATCTTTGAGAATAATTTGTATTTCTTAAATAAAAACATATCCTGGTACTGCACATCTAACTTATTCATCCACGAATTATATCTGTGATTAAACACCTGATAGCTAAATTATCACTTTAAATTCTTCCTTCCCACAAACATCTTTTCAATGTCAAAATTTAATGATAGTTGTTAATTAATTAGGTTTATGTACAGGTCCATGCAGTACAATTATTATACACAGTAACATGTGTAAATTACCTAGGATAACCCCCCAAAAAAGTGAAAGTGAATTATTTCCACTTAGGTCCTTGTAATATCCTATTATTTAAATGAGTTGCATATATAAGGGAAAACAGTCGATTAATTCTAGCTCTTAATTTACTTTCCGTAAACTTGATCACTTCCTAGTATACCTCTGTGAATAGGATGAGACGCACTCTTTGCTAGGAACTCACGTCAAGGCTCTAGATCCTGGGCCTCGCTACAGTGCAATTTAAAAAATATGATCGAACAATCGAAATAAAAATTGTCACTATCACAAGGACCTCAATGGAAATAAGTTACTCTGACATTTTTGGGTTATCTTAGGTAATCTACACATATGTTATGTATGATAATCTAAGTAACTGTACTGATGTATACTTGTACCTGAATAGACACTTTGCTTCAATTCGAGGTAAAATCCCTAAGTGTTAATATTATTATAATAAAAAAGAAGCGCTAAGCCACATGGGCTATACAGCAATAAGTGTTAATAGAATTGGTTAAATTGATAGGAATGATCAAGAGTCGATAGGATTGGTCAAGAGTTGATAGGACTGGTCAAGATTTTCCCAATTCTGCAGGTGAAGAGGTGAGTCTTGTGTTACAAGGTATCTGTCAAACTGAAGAGATAATTCACCTGTTGAGCAGATCCCGTTCAGAGCAGAGTCGTATCATGGTAAGATTTCCGCTGCATCTGTGCCCCAAACCATCTGGCGTTCGGTGATCCTTTTAGAGTAGCATCAGTAAACGGCTTAACGAGGTGAATAAATGAAAACCGGCACGTATAGCGAAGGATTTCGCACACAAACCAGAAAAACCTCCCGCCGGCGACCATTACTGAGCTGCACAACGAAGCGTTTTCCCGCCTGCAAGCACATATGTCAATAGTAGCAAGCACAGAAATATAAGTGAAATTATTTAATCTTAATAAATTTATGCAAAACTATTATCTTATTGTAAAGTAAATTTCAAGTACTTTTTTAATTTTATAGGAGTTATTTCTCTTATAAATTTGAATTTAAATTTGTTATAACGAGATGTGGCACCGCAGCACCTGCCTCAAGCACAACAGGTACATCTTAACAATTTATAAAATGACAATTAACATACGTAGTCTGCATCCTCAGGATATAAAGTGAATGAGTAATTATTGTGAGTCTTATCTGTGTAATAATTTCAGTGCTTTTTGGCCAATATTTAAATAACGTAACATTCTCAAGAGCTGGGGAAATCAACACTGATACAGCCATATTGCATGTATTAAAAATGAGAGGATACATTGAAAGGTGTATGTTTTTAAGTGCATATATGTTCAGAATTTACTTCGTTTCTTATTTTAACGGTTAATGATCCTTAGTAGATAAGCTTGAAGCCTCATTAACTAGCTATCACACGCTACTGGGTTCATTCCTGGCATTATGAGCACTATCATACATATTTTAAAAGTTATGTGTGGATGCTTCCTCAACCACTTCGTTTTCCAGGTCGCTCCACCTCCATATCACTACTCCTTGTGATTCATCTGTGTTTTTAGCTTCAAGTTGTGCCCTCATATACCCGTTCCTGCCCGCACTATCAATTCGTCCCAATATTTCTTATATCGTTGTCATGTCTTCCCTGGTTCTTGTGTCCTCTAATGTCATCAGGTTTAGCTCTTTTTATCATTCCTCATCGCTCGGGGAGTAGTCTAGTTGCAAACCTCTTCACTTTTTCCATTTTTTTAATATGCTTAATCAGATGTGGGTTCCGCAGTGGTGCTGCATACTCAAATATGGTATATGGTGTCATAACTCATGTTGAAAATTCTGAACGCTACTCCTAGGTCTGCCAGAAGCCCATTTGCTGCCAAGGCTATTAGGTTTAGAAACCCACTGGATTATTATTATAATCAAGGGGAAGCGCTAAACCCATAGGATTAATCAGCGCCTGTGGGGAGATGGAAGGTATTCAGGGTTAATTCAGGATACTGGAGCACAGATCCAGTTCCCTAGATCAAGAGCCCCTCAATAGCATCAAGCAACCTTCCTTGAGGGGAGAAACCCAATGGAAATAAGTGACTATGACTTTTTTGGGGGGCTGTCCTTAGTAATTTACACATATGTTGTTATGTATGGTGGCCTGGTGGCTAACGCTCTCGCTTCACTCGGCGAGGGTCTGGGTTCGATTCCCAGCCAGAGTAGAAACATTGGACGTGTTTCTTTCCACCTGTTGTCTATGTTCCCCATCAGTAAAATGGGTACCTGAGTGTTAGTCGACTGGTGTGGGTCGCATCCTGGGACACTGACCTAATTTGCCCGAAATGTGCCGAAATGCGGAGCATAACAAGGGACTTTCTATATAGTAGTATGTCATTGTTGTCAGATAGGACTGTATACCTTGTACATGTACTTGTAGTAAATAAAGATATTATTATTATTATTATTATGATAACTGTACTTATGTATACCTGTACCTAAATATACATCTCGTCCCTTGGGCGGGAGTGAGATATATAGATAAATATACTTAATAACACCTTCTGTCTTTATTTACCTAACAGTAATGATGTCTAGATTTTTCCAGCTGTTGCTAGACTCATCTTTGGGAAGAAACCCAAATGGAAATAAGTTACGGTGACTGATTTTCTTTCGTTATTCTTCTTCAAATAAAACTCACCACTGCTTAATATGCGTTCGTTAATAATTAACTTTGACTTCCTGGGCTATCCTAGGTTATTTATACGTGTGTTATTATGTCAGACAGTTGTAACAACCTCAGTTCTGTGTAACTGTAGTAAATAAAGTTACGCAAATAAAATTACTTACCTACTTGAATGGGATTGAACATTAAGAAACAATATAATACAGTTTACGTTAAAATATCCATTTTTTTTAGATATTTGGTAAAATACGTTTTCTTTGTTTTTATGTGGTAAACTTAAATGAAAATATATGGTCACAGCTATATATGTTTAGCATACGTAAGAAAGTAAATCAGAGAGCAAGAAAATTTATTTACGTACAAGTTTACGCAGTTATTGGATGATTACAATTGTCTTACATAGTAACATGTGTGTAAATTCCCTAGGATAACTTTTTTTTTAATATAGAGCAACACAAGAAATCACTTTCATTCCTTTTTGCAGCTTTTACTTAGATATTTTTAAGTCTTCCTTGTATACTGATTTATACTAAGACTGTTCAGGTGACCCATTCCAGTCCTTTGTGTATAATAGAAAGTGACTGAGGTCCTGCCATCTCCTGTGAATGCTACCAATAAAATCCTTCTTGTGGTACAATGATAGTTGTACTTCATTTTACAAAATTTGGACAATGGTTATTAGCAATTTTGTATACATGAATGAGTTTCGGCTTCTTTGCTGCATCTGTCACCTGAATTTTCTTGAACCCAGGTGGCGATGAATTCCACTATCTTATTTTGAATAATTTCTGGCCTGTGTTTCAGCATTTTGTTAGCATGACGAAGAGGAGTAACCTACATGACACTGTATAAGAGCCAGATATAGTGTTGCTTGCCTAAGTTAGTAGGTACTGTGCCTTTCTGTACAACAACTTTAATCTGGTATTAATAATAATATTAATAATGATCTTTATTTCTACAAGTACATGCATAAGGTATACAGACCTAGCTGACATCAATGACATATTACTATACAGAAAGCCCCATGTTATACAGAGCATTTCGGGAAAATTAGATCAGTTTTGTCCCAGGATGCAACCCATGCCAGTCGATTAACACTCAGGTACCTATTTTACTGATAGTTGAACAGGGATAGCGTATAGTCTTTCTTCTATGGAGAACCTAGTATTACTCACTGAATTCACTATAGAGACCCCACCTCGCTTTAATTTTCTATGAACCAAATATTGCATGGTTTTCTTTCCATCAACCTCTAAGTATTATGCCACTGATTTAATGATTTTTTACTGTGGGTTGATCCCCTTTTTTTTAAATGGGATGTAAAACCTAGAATTGTGTGCTTAACCACTGAGCAGTCTTCATTGTGTCAGGACAGAGTGAAATATTTCCTGACCAACGAAACACCATAATGTAAGACATGTCTCAGTGTGCTGCATTCTTAAGAAATGCCTTGTTACCTAATTGTTAAAATAACGTGTAGACCTGATCTATCCTCGAAACCTGGATAATATTTTACCACTCTTCATGAAGGCCGAGTTGGTCAAAAAGCCAAATTGCCCTGTATGAAACTTCAAAATTTGGGTTATTTAAAATTAATGCAATATACATATTTCGTAATGTGAGAGTCAAATGTCGTGATGAATAAGTAAAACTGGTTAATTAGCAAGAACTCATTTAAAATTAAGTTCTTTCTAAATTTTCTCTTATACGTTAAAAGACATATTTTTTTTCTTTCATGATAATGTAAAAATTAATAATTTTGTTAGATAAGCTTTCTAGCTTATCTAACATTATTATAACAAGCGCAATTTAATTTAGCCTAATCCAAGTAAATATATTTTAGATAAGTTTACAATAATTTAATAATAAACAAACACAATGAAATATATTTTTTTCGTTAGGTTCAAAATTATTTTTGCGAAATTAATGCATAAAACACATTTTCGCTTGCCTTATTCGGCAAGAAGAGAGTTGCTATTTAAGCCAAAATCGCAAGTTTTGCCTATTCGGCACGACATATTATATATATATATATATATATATATATATATATATATATATATATATATATATATATATATATATATATATATATATATTATATATATATATATATATATATATATATATATATATATATATATATATATATATATATATATATATATATATATATATATATATATATATATATCAGAACAACCACTGTGAAAAAATAGTGATATTCCAAGAGTTTTCGTGTCTTCTCACATTATCAAGGTTATTGATAATGTGAGACGTCACGAAAACTCTTGGAATTTCACTATTTTTTCACAGTGGTTGTTCTGATATATATATATATATATATATATATATATATATATATATATATAAAATTTATATATATATATTATATATATATATATAATATATATATATATATATATTATAATATATATATTATATATATATATATGTAGTATATGGTATTGTAATCACGAAGAAGTGTTATTTAATCAATAACAACATGGTGATAGTCACCGTGTTGAATTAGTGTAGTCATGTACCGTGTGGTACATTATGCTGTCACTGATGTGCGACTCTTACTATGTACTTAACATTAGTAGGTATTCCGTCATCTGACACAAATCGTAATGTGAGGGTACTGAAAGGAAGTACTTTGTACATTGGGATAGAAACATTGCAAATACAGTGAATTATTATATTATTATTATTATTATTATTATTATTTATTATTACATTAACGGGGAGCACTGAATCCATTAGGGTCATACAGCGCTTAGGTAAATGGAAGGCATTCACATTCGATTCATGGGAAGAGCAGGTCCAGCTCCTTGGATCAAGAGCATCTCACTGGCATCAAGGAACATCCTCTAAGGTGGGGAGGATATTGTGAACACTGTCATACAAGACTAGAGCTCTCCTGATAAATTGTGAATATGCATACATCATTTTAAAATTATATTTAAAAAAATATTAATATATCGATGTATTTTTCTGTTATTTTTAAGAAAGCTTAACTTTTCCACCATAGCGAAAAAAAGACACCCACCATCATTTAACTATTCATTGTCATTAAATTGCAGCAACGTGGGATGGATGGCGGAACATCAGCATGTCACAATAGTTTGAGAACTAGGCTACGTTCTCTCAAGCATCAAGCAGTAATGATTGGCTGTAGTGTAGGTAGTGGAAGTCACTGGTGCAACGTGATGTTCTATACCACACTGGCAAACACCTGAATATAGGCGAGGCCCATGTTTTAAGGTACCGTGTTTCTTGGGTCACTGTAGATAAGGCATAGCACTTTCAGATCACAACCGAAGGACTTGATCTCAATCCTGAAAGGTGGAGACAAAATAAGCAAGGTCTTCTTGCACATGTAACCCCTGCTCATCTAGCAATAACTAGGTACCTGGGTATTTGCCCTGACTATTGTACGTCACTTCCTGGAAGGAAGGAAAGGCTGGGGGAAGAGGGGGAGAAAGGTGATACTCTTGCATTTGACAGGATAAGGTTTTAAAAATAAGGAATATGATTAAGAGTGATTTAAATTCTAGACTAGAACAAAAATAAGAATAACACGCTGACATCATTATATTCATGGGGAAGAAATCGAGTTTGTTCCAATGAACGGGAAGGCAGCTGAAATTTCTTGAATCAAGAACCCTTGACCAGCATCAAGGTACCCCCTTGAAAGGAACTCACTGGCCGAAAGTTTCACAGTCCAGCGTCATGTTAAAGAACAGTTCCCTAGAGAATAATTTTTTTGATAGAGATGTTATAATAACGCTGTTGCAGCACTGAAAGATAATGCTGGTTTGCAGTTGAGCAATGACACAGGTAGACACGGAAGAACCACTCATCCTCGCAATCCTGGTGGGAGCCTAGTCAGTGTGCGGCCACAGGTGAAAGCATTAGTATCTTCCTCTCCTCTCGTACGGCACCCGAAGAACGCCACTCTCGACCACCATCAGTGGAAGAATTTATTGACTTTGTCATGCGAAACCAGGATAGTTTTACAGCAAAAAGATAATGGTTTCTGAAGACGAACAAACTGTTCACTGCTAGAAAATTCACCGAATCGCAACTAAGATAGGACAGTGTTTCTAGAACAGTATAGTCGAAAAAAAATATCAAAAAGGAAAAACTGATGAAGACAAACTCCGACTTCACAGGCACAGTAGGTCTGGAGGAGGAGACGAAGACATGCAACAGAGTGAACAAAAATGCGTCCTGTGGACATCCTCCTTGCCTACTGTGAGTACTAGAAGAGTCCCCAGCAGGAAGGTCATCTTCCTTAGAACCATCTTCAATATGGCTACACATAGACGGATCTCTCAGTTGTGTCTGCTTCTAATGATTGGAATTCTCATCTTCCTTTTATCTAATACTAATGTAAGTCCAAGTTGTCTATCTAATACTAATGTAAGTACAAGTATACAAACAAGGGTAACAGAAACAATTAATACAACGATGATATACAATGCTAATGGAGCTTATTATAAAAGTGCAACTTCACAAACTCTTGCACAAAAGCATAATGTAAAGAAAATTAAAGAAAAAGAGGAAACTTTTATCGAAAAAGTGGAGTATCAGTTAATAAAAGGCATTATGAGGAGTGTTCTTGCTTCACACTCCAGGCGGTTACATTCTTTGGCTAAGTTCAAAACACTGCCCGAAGGTATAACAAACATAGCGAATACCTCAAAAGTGATAGATACAACCACAAGCATGGACGAAGAAACGCAAAGAAATACAAAACCTAAGGTTAAACAAAGAGAAAAAGTGAGGGGCCGTAATGACAAACACAGACAGGACGATACACATAAGATGAAGAGTAAGAAAGACCTCTCCAAGTACCACCACGAAAAAAATCTCGGGAGAGACTTGGCATCGTTACCACCCAAGAAAATTCTGATGTACACAACTTTTTTCGGCCGAGAAAGCTGGGCTGACCTGCTGGGGAGCAGGACGGACCTGCACAACTGTCCTACTGCCAACTGTATCTTCACCAATAATGCTTCAGAAGCCTCGGATGCCGACGCCCTTATCTTCCACGCCTTTGATTTTTACCCAGCGAATGTCCCGCGTGTTCGACACCCGAACCAGCGATACATCTGGCTCACCCATGAATCTCCAGGACTCTTCAGTGACACCAGCAAAGTGGACTCGTCTGTTGAAGCCGGGTTCTTCAACTGGACCAGCACCTACCACAGAGCCTCCGACATCTTCCTGCCCTACGGAGGACTCAAGTCAATTATAGGTAGAGAATCAATATTATAATATACATTATTATATTTAGAGGATCAATATTGTAAAATACATTATTATAGGTAGAGGATCAATATTATAAAATACATTATTATAGGTAGAGGATCAATATTATAAAATACATTATTATAGGCAGAGGATCAATATTATAAAATACATTATTACAGGTAGAGGATCAATATTATAAAATACATTATTATAGGTACAGGATCAATATTATAAAATACATTATTATAGGTACAGGATCAATATTATAAAATACATTATTAAATTTCAATTTGTATTCTGTAATCTATTTTTTTTTATTTTTTAATAATCATAAGAAGATTTTCTTCAAATTATTAATCCCTGAAGATTTAAGCAAAACAAAACAAGCAGTCTGATTAATTTCAGTTAGGGTGCTTAAGTTCTCTCATCTAGGATGAGACTATCAACAGCCAATGAACGCCTGGGTACCCATTTACTGCTAGGTGACCATGAATCTGAAATACTAATAACCATCGATAGTCATCACCCTATTCATTATTAATCAAAATGACTTATTGCTGAGTGATAGAGCTTTCGATTCAGAAACACAAGGACCCATGTTTATCTAGACTTATCTAGAACTATGTATTTAGGTATTAGCCGTCTGGTGTGAGTGGCATTTTAGGGTCGGTAGTATACTTTAGATAAGACCAGATATTGGAATGAAGTGAGATACGACAGGAGCTCTTAGTCTGTAAATAGAACTCTGTAACAAATTGTTTTTTACAGGTGAGCGTGACCTGGGGCGCCCCGGCCTCCTGAATACATCAGGAGTTACATACAAGTCATATATAGCAGCTCTGCAACACGGAGATCTACCTACTGGACATTTCAACCAGGAGCTTGTGGGTAATTGGTCGTCCTTCCTGTCTCGTCCTAAGCTGGTGTCTTGGATGGTATCCCACTGCAACACACTGTCTGGTAGTTAAAACCCTAGTTTTTAAACAACTCTACTATTATTGCATCTTTCTTTCTTTTTGCATTTTTTATGGATTAAGGCATTAAGACTGATATGATAAATAGCAGGTGTGAATATAGTTTTTGAATGGATTGTATATATATTTATTATATGTATGAAAGGAGGGAAGGTTTAACCTAAGGATTAACAGAAATCATATATAGTTCCTTTGTATACAGGACAATTGAATAAAAGAGTGTTTAAGAATTACAGGGCGTAAGTCTGTTGAATAGACCGGGCAAAAGCGTAGGGCAGAATTACTATCGATAAAGTTAGGGAAAAGACAGAAAGCAAATTTGCAGAAACAAGAAAGAGTCGAGGTGTGCGGACCAAATGTTAACACTGAACCATATATGTAAATAATATTTAGATAAGGGTAAGATGTTACATTTATAGATTTGGGAAAGGTATACAAGAGTGTAGGTAGGGAAGCGATGTGGCAAAAAAAAAAAAAAAAGAATATAAATGATTATAACTATGACCATAATTTTTAAAGGGGTGGACCGGTAAGCCAGCGGAAGGCCTCGGTCAGATGACCGAAAGCTCCATCGGCGGATCATCACATGATCCGTCAGACATCACGTGTTCTGTTTCCTGACAAGCCTCACCAACCAGCCAAACCAAGCGATATGACAAATGTTGTAAATGGATGGAAAAGTTTTTGTAAGAATATTGAGGTTCAGGCTAGGTAAGTAGGAGACAAAAGAAGAATATTTAGTGAAAAAGGATTTTGAACAGGGATATGTGACATAACAGTAATTTTTTTTATATAGGTGTGGTTGATAAAGGATTCAATGCTAGTGTTGGGAATAGGTGAAAGATGATCTTTGTTGATGACAAACTGTTTATAGGAGGGTCAGAAGGAAGGTTGCAGAGGTTTATGAAGGAGTCTAGGATGATGTATAAATATAGGAAGTGGGAAGTGATCATAAAGCAGAACAATGCGGAAAGTTTAAGTAGTAGTTTATACAATGAAAGATCTAATGTCGGATCGGCAGGAAGGAATATGGAGGAAGTAAATATACTGGATATACAAGAGGGGATGTGTCGACAGAAAGGTCTGTGAATGACGAGGTAAATTATAGAATGGACTGGGAAAAGAAAGTAGTTGGGATGTTGAGGGGTCTGTGGAGAGAACGTTTATTAATGGATGGCTCGGCCAACACTTGATTGGGCGTGAGCCATTGTGCAACGAGGAGGCTGTAGAGAGTAGAAATGTGCTTGAGATCAATGTGTTTAAATGATGAAGAAAAAAAAAACGGGTGAGGAAATTTAAATGATGTGGTAATTCAGATGGATGTGTTCATTTAGAAAGGAAGAAGCAAGATAAATTGACCAGGATTTTATATAAATCTGGGTTGGATGGAAGCTGGTGTTGAGGATGTCTCAAAAAGGGCTGAGAGTATTTGGAAGTTTTAAGTGGAAGGGGCTTGAATATCTAGCAAGTTTTTTTTTATAGGATTTGATTTGCTTTTGAAGTGTAAGGCAACATGAGGAGATTCAGGAAAATTGGCTTGTGTGAGCGTATTAAATAAAAGTGAGTGAAGGAAGTGGTTTTGATGATATGATGTGCTGTTGAGTGTGAACAAGGTAACATTTATGAAGGGATTCAGGGAAACTGGTTAGCCGAACTTGAGTCCTGGAGGTGGGAAGTACAGTGCCTGCATTCTGAAGGAGGGGGTGAGAATGTCGCGGTCTGGAGGGTCGTCTTGTGATAACGTGCTCCTGGCAACATGCACTGAAAGTGCTTTCTTCCTTGTCGGGTCACCTTGCCTTGGTGAGAGACAGACGAAATGTAAAAAAAAAAAAAAAAAAAAAGTCAGGAAAACCGGGTAGCTGGACTTACGTTTAGGAAGGGGGGTGAGAAAAGTGCAAAAACAAAATTTTTATTTAATCGCACCACCCTGCCTTGATAGGAAATGGCAGATGTGTTAAAAATTAAATAATATTAATATGTTTTGTAGTCCTTCAACAATTGAGCCTAGTGACTAGGTCTTGCCCTCTCCCTCCACCTGGGTGCCGGCAGGCAGAGAACTGTATGTGAAGGAGCTGCAGCAGTACCTGCAGGTGGATGTGTACGGCGCTTGTGGTCCTCTAGCTTGTGGCAAATCTCACCTCGACACTCATTGCTACCAGAAGGTCCTCAGACCCAACTACAAGTTCTATCTGGCCTTCGAAAACAACCTGTGTGATGACTATATTACAGAAAAAGTGAGTTGTGCCTTTCATAACGATCCCACAACTTGGAAAAAAAAATGGATGAAATTTTTATCCTTTTTTTCTTAGATATTTAATATTTAAAAGCGTCAGTATCTGCTTGGTACATTGTTGTTGCTTCTCACTGGAATAATTACTCGTTAATATTAAAGGCCTTCTTGTTTGAAGAAACTCAACAGAGTAATACGTGGATAAAAGTATAAAACCTTTTATTGTACTAAAGTATGGTGATAATAAGTAACCATGCCGTGCCCAAAACTTGTGTACTAACACTTTATTGCATCCTCACCTGTCCCGTCTGTGGTACAGGTCTGGTACCCTCTACACCATGGACTGGTACCGGTGGTGTACGGAGGCGCCCAGTACTCCCAGTTCCTGCCTCCTCACTCCTACATCGATGCCACGCACCTCAAGCCACGTCAGCTGGCTCGCCTCCTCACCAGGTCAGGATTTTCTCGTTTTACTCACATGAGCCGCCTAATGTTGTTCTCCTTACTCATCTTGTTGTCCTTATATATTTGACTTTATAATTCTTGGTTTACCCTTCTTACTTACCTTCTCTTACGTTCCTCACTCACCTTATACTTCTTACTTACCTTCTCTAACGTTCCTCACTCACTTTATACTTCATACTTGCCTTCTCTTGCGTTCCTCACTTACCTTATACTTCTTACTTACCTTCTCTAACGTTCCTCACTTACCTTATACTTCATACTTACCTTCTCTTACGTTCCTCACTTACCTTATACTTCTTACTTACCTTCTCTTACGTTCCTCACTCACCTTATACTTCATACTTATCTTCTCTCACGTTCCTCACTCACCGTTTACTTCTTACTTACCTTCTCTTACAAGTTTCTCACTCACCTTATATTTCTTACTAACTTTTTAGCACAATAATCAATTTACACTATCACTCATATAACGAATTTCTCCTCAATAACATCACGATACTCACCCAAGTTATTCTAAGTATATTATTCACCTTGTGTCCTTATTGACCTTCAACTTCTCACTCACATTATTCTTTATTCAGTTTACTCCCTTCACATTATCCTTCACTCAGTTTACTCTCTCTGTTCACCTTATATACGAGTAGCTGTATATCAGTAGTTTTTTTTATACAGAAAAGTAACTAATAAGACAATTGCGATTTATGGCACATTACTGAGATGTTTCGCCCACCAGGGAATTTATCAATTCTCAGAGATGAGCAGAAAGAGCATCTAACGTCTCTCCAATATATATATATATATATATATATATATATATATATATATATATATATATATATATATATATATATATATATATGTATGTATATATATATGTATATATATTCTCTCTCTGTATACAGTATATTGTATCTTATTAACAAGCACAAGTAGCTGTAAAAGAAGACTTGGGAGAAACAGATAGACCAAGAGCACGAGATATCTTTGTACTGCAACATTTAGTTGCGTATGGTATATCATCTATAAAGCTAGTTCACAGACGGTCATATATCCACCTCAAGAGATACGGAAACATTGATCTGTCCAGTGTTGTATCTAGAACGTTGACACTGACTTGTCAACGCCTTCTCTTTTATTCCAATTTTTTTAACAACTTAAGGAGTGGTGTTTTGTTCGTCAAGAAACAGGACAGTGTCTCTGTACACGGGTCACTCTGCGATCCTTCAAGTCAACTGACAGTTTTTAGTGACTTAAGCTTTGTCTTGTATGGTAATGTTATGTAAGATTTGCTCCTCTACTAGTGCCAATTTCTTTACTAATCCCTGTTTATCTACTAATATATTAACTGTACAATAAGTATATATATATATATATATATATATATAATATATATATATATATATATATAATATATATATATATATAATATATATATATATATATATATATATATATATATATATATATATATATATATAATATATATATATATATATATTATATATATATATATATATATATACACTCAGATTATACATTGATTTCCATTTTGGGAATTGAAGAATTCTAGAGGTTATATAAAGTTAGTTAAATATCTTCATAATACACCTGATACTCATCCTGATGGTTGTAGTCAAAAGATTACAGATGCTCAAAATATGTCCAGGGACTGGGCTCCAAAAATTTGATAGCTTAATCTTGCTAAAACATAGGGTAATGAACCTAATTCAGTCTTATACGAGCTACACTATAATATTGTGTGACTGAACTCATGTCTGCATAAATACTGTCATTACGATTGTAACCAGGTACAATGTATTAACATACAAATAGTTCATTACCACAGTAATATGGTTAGCTAATATGAAGGTGAAGTATGGCCTTAATGAACCACAGGCAGTCAACTGGGCTTGATTATGATAAACTGTGTAGGCTTAGCGGAAGCGCCTTCAGCTCACACTCGAAGGACCGGGGTCGATCCTAGAGCGAGTGGAAACTTTTTTACACCTGTTCTGCTCACCTAGCAGTAAGTAGGTACCTAGATGTTAGCCAACTGCTGTGGGTGGAATCCTGGGGAAGAGGACCACAGAAACCTAATGGAAATCGTCCACACTGCTTGGCTTTCATAACTTTGAAAGGAGTGGAACCGTAAGCCAGCAGAAGGCCTTGGTTATAAGACCAAAAGTTTCAGTTGGCTGGTCACTATATGACTAAGACCCGCGTCAAGCAAAACTTGTCTTGTTTCCTGAAGAATATAATGCCACCACCTTGACTACCTTGGGTTATCCTGGGTTACTAACCCTCCGATTTAATAATTCAAAATAACTGTTCTTCTAGTGTGGCTGCTTCACCACGTGTGTACGGTCGCTACCACCTGTGGAGGCAATACTGGAGAGTGTTACTGTACCCTCCACTGTGTGAACTGTGTCACAAGCTCCACCATCACCATCCCTCCACTCTCACCGTCCACCCACCAACTTGGTGGGCCGCCCTCAACAACTGCACCACCCTCTACCCTCTACACCAGTACCCCAGGAAGGACCTGAGAGTCCTGCTTTATGACCTGAAAAAGAAAATGGACAATGTCTTCTTACCCAATGTAAAAAATATGGTTTAGCTATAGGTATGAGGGGTCCTTTCTTATATGTGTATCTGTAAAGATTTTATTTATTTATTATATTTAATCAATTATATATTATAAGTGAAAAGAAACACGAATACCATTAAATTATCACAGCACATAATAATAATAATAATAATAATAATAATAATAATAATAAAATTCATAAAGCGTTCGTAATATGGTTCACTTGATTTTTATTATTATTATTATTATTATTATTATTATTTAAAAGAAGCGCTAAACCTACAAGGGTCATACAGCGCTGACGGTTCAGTGGATATGGTATCAATTTACTTCCCGGGGAAAGTGTGGATTATGTCTTCCTCCATATCACCATACAAGCTTCTCAAAATATTCTCTATCATACCTCTACTACCTTATCCAACATTTCACCAATGTCACTCAAGGCTGACAAGTTAATTTTCTCTCCGTATTTTCTCAATTTATCTCTCTCCAGAACTGGTTATATTCACAAGAATTACTGATAAAGTCACACACTTCATTTTATTTAGTTTTTCTTATCTTTCTTTGTCACTCTTCCTTATTATCATTTAAACGTTGTAATATCTGTTAAATATTTTATTTTTTTGGACACCATTTCAACCTCATTATTTCATCTTTTTCTCCTCTTTCTTCCGGCACCCACCTTCCTATATCCACAAACTTATGCTGCACCCTCTGATGCTCCAATTTTAAATTTAAACCGCTTTTCACATCTCTTGCCTAGTGGCACCATTTTCCAGTCCTTCCACCTTTCTCTTACCGTAGTTGCCACTAATAATAAAGTATATCAGTGGCTATTCTAAAAACACCAACATTCAGAATAGTACGCAACTGCCCAATGGAAATAAGTCTGAGTTTTTTATGTTTTACACATATTTTGCTATGTATGATAATTGTACTTATGTGGACGTGTACCTAAATAAACTTACTTACCTTCATCCTATTATACTTTAGGATTTAGCCAGGCCAGCACATAATTCCTCAGAGAACTCTTGCGTACATCATATCTCGTATTCTGTAATTATCGCTTTCTTCCTGAAACATGCATTACCTGTTATTTTATTAAACCTGTTTTTAAGCACAATTAAATTAAAGGTCCTCAGTTATTGTTTACTCCTGTCATACCAAATATTCCTACAACACCGTCGGTAAAAGTGACTCCCACTTTAGGTGTCAAGTTTCCCAAAACAATATTATTTTGTTTGGCAACAGGGAAGCGAATTAAATTTCTTTTTAACACTAAAAGTTGTTAAGAAATAGCAAAAAGGTAAAGTCAGATGTATGCTGGATGTAAGTAGAGGCTAATGTGAATCACCGACAACTTTAAGTATTCACGAGACAGACTGGGAATGTCAAACTTGAATGTCAGACAAGAGTCAGAAACCAAAGCAGAAGTAAGCTTGTCGAACCCACCACCTTCTCTGGGAGGCGAACTTCTGTGTGGTAACACCAGTCAGATACCGTACGACAGCACCGCTACATTATAAAAACAAATGCCAGTATATTTCAGCTGATTTAAACCTTTGCCAGAATGCAGTCACCTGGTAAATCAATTTACAGATCAGAAACATAAAGTTTTGTTGCTGAAGATGTGTAAATAAATGTAAAATAAAGCCTTCAATATCATCTGTTTTCAATTTTCCTGTGGTTTATTTTGCGTCGGACCTAATAAACCGAACTTGCCGAATAGGCCGAACACCCTTAAAAATTAAACTTTCCCAAAAAATTCTCTGACAGAATGATAGCGATTTTTTTTAATTGATATAAAAACTTATTTTTGCACCAAAACTGACTCAGAAACCTCACTTTACCTCTTATAAACTGACCGATTTTTTTAGCTAAATTCTGTTATGTATAGTAGGTCAATTTAAATTTATTTAATATTCCTTTAATATATGATATATATATGATATATATATGATATATATATGATATATATATGATATATATATATATATATATATATATATATATATATATATATATATATATATATATATATATATATATATATATATATAATATATATATTATATATTCGTTTTGCTTAGAGTGATTTCCGCTGATTTATAGCAAAAACAAATTTTTATTCTGCTTATTCGGCACGAGATACCATTGCTAAATAGGCCAAACATGCCGGTTTGGCCTATATATATATATATATATATATATATATATATATATATATATATATATATATATAATATATATATATATATATAATATATAATATTATAAAAAAATATAGGGAGGTACCACCTCTAGAACTGGATTGGGGAGCCTCATCCTCAGAGAAGAGAATAATCAAATTTCTCTTCTGAGCTGTTTGAATATTTTCTTCTACCACTCCCTATATTCTATGAGAACTTGCTTTCCAAACAAAATGCATTAACAAGCATACAATGGGAAAGAGAACAACATGAATAACATCTCAGAGCCTGCATCTCAAATGCTTCATCCAGCTCCCCTGTGGTGGGTCGTGTACCCAGAATGCTGCAGGGATTTTCCCTCTGGATCGCAACACTGAGTCTCTGAAAGAGGAAGCTAGCCGCTCTGGGGTTCTTGGTATCTTTGACGAGTTTTTCACCTAATTCCTTCAGGAATTTTAGAGCACAATTACCCCCAAGGGTCTTCGACCCTACTGGGACGAAGTTATAGCATGGTGGCAGTCCTCTGTATTTGTTGATCTGGGTTTCCCTGCAACTGACGGGCCCACCCCTTCAGCTTCGTATTTTACTAGCTTCATCCTTAAACAAGGAAATTTAATGAATCTATTCCTGCTTGTTAAAATCGTTGATGTACAATACATCAGGAACTTTTATAATGAAACCTCTAAAAATACCATAGCTGCTGCACCCATAGTCTCATGACTGACGATATCCTCATCACCTTACTGAAGTCAGATTGATATATTTTATTAAGAAAGAACGAAAAGGCACAATACCGTAACTGGAACAATATTTTTTTTCGTTAGGTTCAGAATGATTTTTGCGAAATTATTGCATACACAAATTTTCGCTTGCCCTGTTCGGCAAGAGGAGCGTTCATATTTAGGCCAAAATCGCAAGTTTTACCTATTCAGCACGATATATATATATATCAACCTCTGGTATTATATATATCTTCTGTACTTCCTTTTACATGCAGACTGTGTTCCCTCCTTGGACAGCCACCACTGTGCAGTACACGTGCCGTCTTCTCCCTCCTCCACCTGCCACACTCCACCTTCAACCCTCACCTAGTTGAGAAGATGAAAACATTCTCCAGTCGGCTGGTGACCACCACCCAGCGAGCCGTTCCATTCTCGCTCACTACGCTGCACTCACCAACGTTATCTTAGTGTTTCCCATATTGTCGCCTCAAAAAAAATGAAAATAACGTTATTATTGATGTGTATATAATTTATATTCATCGAGAAACAGTACATCCTTTGGGGTTATTCAGCGCTTTTGTAATCAGTAGCAAGAAGTCACCTGTATTTTAATAAATTGCAGTGAGAAGCAAGTGTTGATTAATGTACCATAGATAACGAGGGTTGTGAAGTGTAAACACAACTTCATCCTCATTCTAGTTAAACTAAGAAGTCTGCAACTTACAGTGAGTATTGAAAACAATCTATATCTCTACCGTTTATACACTGAATTTTAATTAAAGTTTTGTATTTTAGAGCCATAACATTTAGTATACGTATATATTATATCTCGGTATATATAGAATTTGCAAGCAGTATGTATATACTACCTGAAAGTGTCCAGGAGATTAGGTTAGGTAAGGTTCGTCAGGAAACAGAACAAGTGTTTCCTGACGCGGGGCTTAGCTATATGATAACCCACAGCTGGAACTTGTGGTCCTCTGACCGAAGCTTCTTCTAGCTTACCGGTCTGCCCCTTTAAAAATTATGGTTATAGTTATAACCATTAGGGAGCTTCTCTGTAGTCCCTTTAGTGAGACATGACCATTTCTTTCGTGAACTGAATAGTGGCGTCGAATATTCGTGCACGCAACGTGAAGACAAAATTGCTAATGATTCAAGCAGTGAAGCTGAAAGAGGCTGTATGTGGTTCGTTCAGTGATCACAACCCTCCCCGCACAGCAAAATACTTTGAAGTTCGATGACAAGGTGAGACATAATGACCGGGTCTTCTTACGCCTTGCCACCCAGCGGTGAAGACACCTATGTTAGTCGACTGTTTTCGAGTGCATCATGGATAAATATTACAATGAATATGAGGAAGGAATTCCATAACGTTAACTCAATGTTAACTCGCTCTTTTATGCTCTTGCCTTCTCATCAGAGTATATACACGAGGTGTGTATCTCTCGGAGTTATACACAGCTGGAGGTATATACCAAGAGGTATGTATCTCAGTGTGTATATTTTTATATATACACCGAGAGGTATGTATCTCAATGAGTATACAGTTATGTATCTCAGTGAATATATGCCGAGACGTATCTCTCATTGAGTATAGTATCAGTTATGTGTCTCAGAGAGCACATGCCGGAAGGTATCTTCTTTAGAGATTATGGTAGTATCTGGACTGGTGATGAACAAGTAATATGCATCCTTAATGGTCTATGTGTAGTCGATAACCTTTAATCGTAATAAACCATCCAGTTATCATCCTCAGTCAAAGAACAGCATGTAACATTTTATTCTTTATTTAACTGTAGTTACCGCAGACATGTCTGGCACGCTTCACCACGTGCACATTTAGTGAGGTTCAACCACCGTTCAAGTTGCCCAACTTAAATGTAAAGCTGGGACATGCAATGATGCATGATCTGATTGGGTGGGATATTCGTTGATCTGACTAATTGGGACATGCGTCGCTCTGATTGATTTGGACATGTACTTATCTGATACTTGGGACATACCTTGATATGACTGGGTGGGACATGTGGTTCGCTGATTTCCATGTCTTCTTGAACACTCTTTTCGATTAGGTACAATTAGTTTTGCTATTTTAGGTTAGGGAAATCTAAATACAGCTAGTATAGTTATGTCTTTTCAATTAGTGGAAGATGGAAAACATTTTCAGATGAATTAAAACCAAATGACCTTGAAATCTTATGACAATGGAAGGGTTAAGTCACCAAATGTCAGGCAATTGTTCCCAAATTGTGATCTTACCTTCTCTATAAACTAAAGACAAGCAAGTATTTCCTTTGATACATGTAAGACAAAGTAACCTTGCTCAATGTATCACGTTTCTACAATGCCTCACGTCACCCACATACACAGGACGAAATAGGTAAGGTAACTAACTAAAATGCCAGAGGTATCTGGACAATGCAAAGAAACCTTGAGGAATTACTGTTATTGTTCCGCGTTGTCTCTAACATGACTCTTAGCTTCATTGAACACCGGTAATTAACCAACCTTTAATTAGTTTAACAATTACGGCTGTATCTGCCACACTGTTAAGCGGGTGTCATGAATATCAGACCAGAAACCTTTCACCCGTGAGACTTCCAGAAGACCAGTTTTTATCACAATGTTTTGCATATATGCTTCAACTAGTTCTTTTAGTATGTACCACAGCACGAGTGTTGCAACAATACAGGTCACACTAGCCTCATTAGATCACTGTCAGTGGCACTAATAAAACCAGACACTGTCTAGGACATGTATACTTGGCCTCTCACGTTACGCGATTTAGTAATGGCTTTTGACTTTGCGTTCAGTGCACCAGCACCAGTGGTGCGATCTATGCTGCCAAGGAGTCAAAATGTACATAGCAACGTTTTCTCTCGTGTAAGCGAGACTGTATCCTTCTACTGTGTTTGATTTATTTGCCTTTTGGTTCGCTGTCCGTAAGTGTTTCCTACCAGGGCTCGTGAGATACAACAATTATTGTCGTATGAATGGCCAGCGTGTACACCTGTAGTTTATCACGTGAAAGGCAGCGAAAAAGAATACTTGTTTGATAAAGACCTGTCTTTAACACAACCCAGTGAACGAAGGTTAGGTTAGGTAACATTTGTCAAGAAACAGAGCAAGTGTTTCTTGACCCGGGTCTTAGCCATGTGATGACCCACAGCTGGAGCTTTTGGTCATCTAACCGAGGCCTTCCACTGGCTTACCGGTACACCTCTTTAAAAATTATGGCTATGATTATAACCATTGGGATTGATTCCAGTGAACAAACGGTTATATCTCTTAAATATTAGATATGAGTTGAATCATAATTGCAATCTCTTTATACATTATAGTAGTTACTTTATCTTGATCAATGTTAAATTATTTCCGCATAACCCAGTGCAATAATATCACATACCCTGATGACCATAGTCAGTGTTTAGTCTAAAACAAATCTGAAATGGAATAAAAAGCAAAATAACAGGCATGCCGATTTAAAGTATTTGGCTCATAAGCCAGTGCATATAGAGACTGTTAAGTAAAAGGACACGTGTGCAGCTAATGCGACATTTTCATTGTGGCAACGTTTCGCTCTCCAGGAGCTGTGTCAAGCCGTATTAGAGATTGTTTATACAACGAATGAAACTGATAAATCATTTTGAAATTTACCTGTTCTGTGCAACCAGGTGAGAATATCACTGATCTAGGTGAAGAATGTGGACGTTGCCACAATAAAATGTCGCATTAGTTGCATTTGTGTCCCTTTACTTAACATATTGTCGGTAATTCTACCAATATTAACACCACCATTCTTCTTCGTATTGGACTGACGAAGCCACTGTGTGGCGAAACGTTACATCAATAAAGATACCAAAGTGTTGCACATGTGTCTAATTTATCAACTTGTCAGTTCTCTGAACCATTTATCTACATACTAATTTACAATATAGCGAGTTGCCATTTCGTGTAGTTTGGTCTTATCTCGAAAGTGTTTAAATATAAGGGATCAAGTGTATGGGCCTGTCCTTGTTTATACAAATACAGTACTTGAGAGCGATTTTATGGTGAAAATATCCTTTGAATAGGACCCTTCGTCTGATTTAAGATTTTATGGTGAAAATATCTTTTGAATAGGACCCTTAGTCTGATTTAATTATGTAGAATCGGACTCAATAATTACACTGTGTATCAAAGCCTTTAAACTTTACCCGTCCTTATTATGAACGTATGGTTTATAAAATATTTGTTTACGGCAGAGGACGATTGTTAAGATATAAGACCTAACGAGAAGTGTAGACGGAGGTGTAGTTGCACTGACATTAACCTCAAGAAGCTCACTGTGAAGCAAAGGTGACTGGCGTTTGGACCAGGAAAGGAGTTTAGCTACCTTGCCGCTCAGGAAATCACCACCCTGGTAAGGAGTTTAGCTACCTTGCCGCTCTGGAAATCGCCATCCTGGTAAGGAGTTTAGCTACCTTGCCACTCAGGAAATCGCCACATCCCTTGCATTAAAAGGTCAACGTTATTGTGCTCATTTGACATTTGTATTGAAGAGTTTTCCATCTTTCAGTGGCACATTGACGAAGGTCTGTCGGGTTTGGCGGACTTATCATAAGGTGACAGTTATCCTAACTGGCCTCTCGTGTGCACCACAAGACTGTCCGTTCCTGTCTACCACACTAGATTTAAGGTAGTCACGTATAACCTTGGAACATTTTGTAATGCTCTTGTATAACAGGTTCGTGATGTGGTAGATGTCACTAGGGCAAAGAAACACTTCCACAGCTGCGCTGACGTGTACAGTTCTTTACATTTGCTGATAAGTTGAAACAGTGATATCATAAACTTCTTTTTTTGTTATCAAACCAACATAGAATATAAAAATAACATGAACAAATATTTAAAAAATAATTTAGTGTTATGAAGTCAATATTCCCAGGAGGCCTGGTCTCAGACCGGGCCGCGGGGGCGTTGACCCCCGGAACTCTCTCCAGGTAAACTCCAGTACAAGGATCTTATATGCTAATGTAAATATATGTCAGTAATTTTATTGCACCGTATTAAATTTTTCTATATATGCAGGTATTAAGCAGAGCTTGAAATATACATATAAAATTGCTACTAATAAAAGTAGATAATTTTATTTATCTAGCATTTTTTTGGCAGATCTAGACATAACTAATTCTACCTGTCATGTTGGGTTCATCATATATGGTAGTGTGTAAAAACGTATTAGCTCCCCCCCCACAAACAAACAAAAAAACCCAATACTCCCACCACACCGGCAAAAGAGAAAGTGTCCTGAGACAAGGTAACATACACCTTGGGCGCCTTCCTTCACCCACCTTCAACCAGTTTCATTCAGAACCCCGTCTCATGATTCACCCAGCACCCGCCACACCCAGCACCCGCCACATCCCAGCACCCGCCACACCCAGCACTCGCCACATCCAGCATCCAGCACAAACCCAGCATCCGCCACACCCAGCACCCGCCACACACCAGCACCCGCCAACACCCAGCATCCGCCACACCCAGCACTCGCCACATCCAGCATCCGCCACACCCAGCATCCGCCACACCAGCACCGCCACACCCAGCACCCGCCACACCCAGCACTCGCCACATCCAGCATCCGCCACACCCAGCATCCGCCACACCCAGCACCCGCCACACCCAGCACCCGCCACACCCAGCACCGCCACACCCAGCACTCGCCACATCCAGCATCCGC